AACTCCAAAATCTTTAAAAATTTTTTGAAATCTTGCCTAGTATTTCCCAAACTGGATTACAAATTACAATACTGAAACTAATCAGGCCCTGTGAACAAATAAATTTAGGAAATAAGGCACACTGCATTACCGTCTCTGATATTCAAAACTCATATTTACATAATAAAGTTCATTTAATCCCATATAACTCTTTAATTCTAAAATCTATTGGAGGATGGATTACCCTGTTTTGGTCTGGAACACAATCTATGACTATCCTGTTCATAGATAACACCATGTTCACTTCCAGTTTGAGAACTTTTGCTCTAAGTCTTTCCACTAAGGGATGAAGAAAATTTTTTCAGAAAGTTAACTTGCTATGAAAGGTCACACACTAGTTAGAAAGCTCATGACTAGACAGGTTTTCTGACCCTTTCACACACAATCTTTTTACTTTTGCATTCATTTTACTTTTGTATTCATTCCTAAGCCCTTCCTTGATCAAAGTCCTAATTAATCACAGAGCATCTTCTCACTGGTCTTATTTCTGTGCCTTTCTCAATATTCCTTTGGTATGCTCTCCTGTCCTCCAATCCTATGTTATCTACACAAATCACTTCATCCTTCTAAAGACCCATTTCTCTGGCAACACTTCTGCCTATCTCACCATCTGTCTCTGAAAACATGGTGCAGTATGTTTCAAAATTATTTTGTAAGTGCTAGATTTAATTTATCAATGAAAGAGCTAATTCAAGTTGCTCTGTATGTATTTTAGGTTCCTCTGTACTCCTAGTATCTTGCATTATTAAACAATCCATAATATCTGGTGACTGATATATGGAACATCATTAATTTTTTTAAACAACTAAGGTTTGACTGTAACAATTAGATCCTATTAACAGAGCATGTTATAAGTATATCAAATATTATATAGCCTGCTTAAGACAACTGATGTATAAGTCCTGAAACACAGCTAGGAAATTAAGACCACATAAAAGTTTTGATTTGATCTTCTACCCACTAGAAATGAGTTTTCTTTCATTTTTACAAGGCTAAAAGACTCCAGAAGGCCTCTTGTCTGCTGATTTCCCAATTCCATTATTTTCCCTGTTGGTCAATTGAATTGAAGGAAGATGCCCAAAGAACACAACAGATGAAAAAGGAATAAAGGGGAAAATAATGCATTTGCAAAGTTAAATTTTCATTCATGAAGTTCAAAAGGTTTCCTAATAACAAACTACACAGAAAGTCAAAGAAGAACAAAAAAGTATTGTACTAAAGTAAATCAGGACACACCAACAGTACTAGAACCCCAACATTCCATTTATAATTTGACTGCCAAACAGCAACTGTTCTTAGTTTTCGTTTTTTTTTAACTGAACATGCTATCTGGGGATACTTGTTCTCAGCTTGTCATTCACGGAACATTTAAATAAACAATACCATATCCAAATAGTAATTCTACTTCTCAACTGCATAATGAAATGAACACCATGTTCAACTTTCGCCTCCTCACCTACCCTCTTATCTTCTATCATGAGACTCTTCATAATCATACACTTGAACTTCAGGGCACAATTACTCAAGATAAGTGTCTGTGCAGAATATGAAACTACCTCAGCCAGTTTCACTAGCTTGAAAGTGTGGGACCTGTCAAACTACCTTCAAAGCTTTCATCATCTTAAATAAGATTCCAACAATACTAAAGAATGATCAGCATAAAACGTAGGCTCTCATAGACAAGTTTATTATTTTTACTTCAGGCTTCAGTATCACCATAGCTAGACTGAACTCCTTACATCAACACTTTCATTAGGAGTTAGGAGCTTCTTTTTAAAAAGGGAAGCCCAAAATCAGCTACTCAGAACAAAATCATGGAGTCAAAGAGTTCATTATCATACTCATAGTATCTTGCTCCACAGTTTTTCAACTATTACTTTTAACTGGCATGAGCTGTAAGCTTAGCTGTTCAAGGCAGTATTTCTAGTTTATCACAACATCATACCAGCAACGGCCTTGATGATACTTGGTGACAACCGTTTTCACTTCTAAACACTAGGCACCAGGCACCAAAATACACTGTGTATTTAGGGCAATTCTTCATAGCTATAATAGTTCTTAACATTTACAAACATTCTCTTAACATACATTTCTGAGTTCATACTGTAGTTGTCTGTTCTCTAAGAAGCCCTCGCATTTCTTGGTCATAGTTCAAATCTGTGCACAATGGAACATCTCAAAGGTTTTGAGAAATAACTAGACACCTATGTTCTAACCATTCAACATGGATACAGTGTGGTAACAAGCAGCCTATAAATCTAACTTTTGCCAAAGAACCAAACAAATATAAATGATTTCTCCTTAGGGTGTGCTTTTAATCTAAAAATGTTAACAACTTTCTTATAAAAGTCAGGCCTTTTAAAGGAAACACTGAGAAGATACTTGATAGAAGAAACTTTTCATGTGCTTAGGAGTGATGATGGTGATGTGGGGGTTTTTTTGAGACATAATTTAGAGATACGTAGATATATTTATAGATGAGATCATATCACACAGGGAATGGGGTGACTATGGAAGAAAATTAGAAGCAAAATGAGATATAACTTGGTAGTTGCGATCCCTGGTGTTGGATATATAGGGTTTGATTTACTGTATGGCCTACTCTGGACATGTTCACATTCTTATATACATTTTTACATATACACTTTTTTAAAAATTAGATTTCCTATACCTATATATATATATATGATATTAAATAGAACAGTGATATAGTGTTCAACTGACCAAAGTAACATGGGTTTTAAAGCTAGATAAGCAGCAAAAAAAAAGAAAAAAAAACTAATTGCAGCAAGGAAAGAAATGGCACTAATGGTACATTTTTTTGAACTGGATCTTCTCTAAAAACTAAAAAGTTTTTTAAGCTCAAAAATAAAACTAGAATGGGCACATTTTCTCATAGCCTAAAGTATAGAGTATATAGATATAGATACATCACCAGCCTAGTCAAACAGCTACTTACTATAAATAAAACAATCAAAGACAAAATGCATGATCCCTCTCTAAACAACCTTTGAAAATAATCATGGGAATCCAGAGGGGCCACACAGCAGTAGTGAATAACCATGAAAAAAGCAGAACCACATGCAACCAGCTCTTACAAGTAAATACCTTGCTAAGCAATGTTGAACCAAATTCTTAGGATAAGTGCTGTGGGTTCAGTTCCTATGTTAAAGCAAGGAAGAGAAACAGGTTACACCTTACAGTTCCCACCCACCTTGGCAAAGTGAAAGCTACACTTAAAATTACCCTAAGTGGTAAGCCTCAACATTGAAAAATTTTAGCCAATTCAGTACCAGTTGTAGAACTGAAGGGTAACTCATTCAGTCACTAACATCAAAACTCTATGGTCACCACCAATAAATACCATCACCCTCCTCTTCTCCACAACCACTGCAAACAACCACCACAATTCCAATCAAAAGCAGTTGACAGAAAAAACTGACAGGAAAAATGTCTTTTGAAAAATACTTAAACCTGGCATTCAAACACACAGAACCAGCAATCTAAACCTGCATAGTTACTGTATATGAGATTTAAGCTTTCATTAACAAAGCTTGCATGTGAACATCTGAAACAATACCACAATACAGCAAGAAAACCAAAAGGAAGGAGAAAAGTTTCCTTCAGGAACCCCAAACGATCACATCAGGTGCATAAAGAACTAAAAAGCAACTCACAGCTTGATTTTGTGCCTAAGGAAGCTGGACCAACTCTACAAAATCTAAAGCCTTCCGTGTGCAGTGTGTATTGGGGGTGGAGACAGGGAGGTGGGGGAGGTAGGGAAGCAAAGAAGGCGGTTAAATTTATAGAGACCAGTGACCAATCCTAGCACCAAATCAGATCTGTTCAGGCAAAGATACTTTCCAGTGACCCCTGGATAGTCTCCCTGAAGCTCCCTCCTCTCAACACCCACCCCATGAGCCTCTTAGCCAGCAGGAAAATGTGCATTTAAAAATGAACGCTGCCTGCAGGTGCCTATGGAATAAAGACACACACATACACCACACCACACCACAACATATACCACACCACACACAAAGCAAATTACTTAGGAAGGAGAAAAAGAACACACACACAAAAAGGAAAAGGACAATTGGTGACAAGCCCTTCAGTAACCAGCTAGGATTTTATTCTTTGCTTCCACCAGTGCTCCCTGGTGTACCTTTTTCTGTCCTTCAACTAAATTACTCATGTGTACACACACACACACACACACACACACACACACATACGTGTATGTGTATAGATATTATAATTAACCTTTTCTGTAATAGACCCTCATTCACAATACAGAAAGATATTCCATCCTTTCCTCTTCTCTCCCCTCCTCCCTCCTTTCTGCTATCCAAGAGAAAACGCCCCCTTCCCAAGCTTCGCCAAAAAAAAAAAAAAAAAAAAAAAAGGCGTGGGGGGGGTGGCAAAGAAACCATAAAACCCCATCAGCCTCCGGTCCGGAGGACATCCAGGAAATACATACACTAGACAGACACATAGGGACATATGGTTCTGGAGAAAGCACACACAGAACCATCCACAGGCGCCCCAAACCCTGCAAACAGACTTCCACTAGCCAAGAAGCCATGATTGGGGAGGGAGACGAGGAAGGGGTAGGGGCAGAGCTACCGGTGGAGAGGGGGCGCATTGTTGTGATGCCTGAACCCCTTCTTCGGGCCCATCTGCTGTATAGGGGGTGCAGGGAGGGGGCGCAGGGGAAAGGCGAGTGACAAACGAGCAAACCAGGAGACCAGGCACGGTTTTGCAATTCCCTCCTGCTGCCTGTCTGCCCGCGCCCCCTGCTCCCCCCAACAAAAAGACCTCAGCCTAGACAGACAGACAGCCTGCCTGCCTGCCCGCCCTAAGAACCGCGGGCGAAGCTGGGGACACCCGGCGCAGCCAAGTGGGGTCGTGAATAAAGGGAAACCAGGGAGGAAAAGGGGGGAAAGGAAGGGGGACCCCCTTACCTCCAGCGCTTCAAAAGTGACAAAGCTGGTCATGGCAAATCCATCAATGATGTCCTCTTCGGCCGAGGTGGACTCTCTCCGCTTCCTCCGCGGGGGTCTGGGCCGGGACGGGGCGGAGGACGGGGGCTTCCCATTGTCTTCCTTGTCGGAGCCAGACGACGAGGCGAGCGAGGGCGCCCGGGTCCGGCCGGCCCCTCCGCCGCCGGCCCCCAGCCCGCCCCGGGAGCGCCTCTCCCGATCTCGCTGCGACCGCGACCGCCGCTTTTTGCGGAGTCCATGGCCCCGCGTCGGGCCATCCATGGCTGTGCCGCGCCGGGGTCCCCCTGTTCGCCTGCCGCCCGCCACAGGCTCCGGCCGCGGCCACACACACTCACACACACGCTCACCAAAAAAAAAAAAAAAAATGACACCGAGCCCTCCCTCTCCCGATCACGGCTTCCCTCCGCCTCGAGGAGGGCGCGGGGGAGACGGCGGCCGAAAGAAGGGAGAGAGGGGAAGAAAGAGAGGAGAAAGAAAAGGGGGAAGGGGCGGAGAGAGGGGAGGAGGGACGGGGGCGCAGAGCCCAAGTGTGGGGCTCCCCGCCGCACTGAGGGTCGGAGATGCCTGGGAGCAGCGCCGAGCAAAGTAATGGCTGAACACACAGGTCTCCTTTAGAGAGGAAAAAAAATAACTCACCAAGCAGGCAATAAATCAGAATAGCGGAATGCTTTGATCAAGAGACTGGGAGGCTCCGGGGAGCCCTCCCCGCGGCCATTCTCTGCCGCGCCCCCCCCAAAACGCCTGCACACCCTTCTCCCCCCTCCCCACCCCCGGGATCCAAAATCAGGTCCGAAAAGGTCGCGGTAAAAGTGGGGGCAATGAACTTGAAAACAACACTACCCCCCGGGCCACCTCTCACACACGCCTCGGAGAAAACTCACTCCCAGGCTGCAAAATTTTTAAGGAATTGCATCCAGGGGAGACCAAGGTTGGGGACCGAACGCAGAGGGGTGAGACCCCCTCCCTGGGAAGGAAGCATAATAATAATAATGCAATCATTAGCAGAGGAGACGGTGAAACTGCGAAGCGGTAGGAGGGGAAGGGAGGCTCAGGAAGAGGAGGAAGGAGGATGCTGGAGCAGTGTGGGGTTTGCTTTTCGGTCTGGGGGGAGGAGAGAAGAAAGAAGAAAAGAAGCAAACCCTGCCGCTGCCACCCGCCCCCCCTCACACACACACCCTTCCTCACAAAAAATGTTTTCCAGTCCCAGAGAAGAGATCACCCTTCCTCCAAAAAACAATATTAATCAGGGAGGGGGTGGGTCAGTCAGTCGGTGAGGAAAGCAGAAAGAAATCTCCAGCGAGAGACACCGGTGTGCCCGTGCCGCCGCGCCGCCGCCGCCGCCGCCGCCGCCTCTCCTCGTCGCCCGCCGGAGGGAGAAGCGCTGACGGAAACACCGCTCTCGCCGCTAACGCAGCCGCCGCCGCTGCCGCCGCGAAAGCCCCGAGCCGGAGGGTGCACGGCGTGTCCCCGGGCGGCTGCCGCGGGAGCCCGGGCTCGGCCCCATCCTCCGCCCGCCCGTCTGCCTCGCTCAGCTCCCGCTCCTCCCCCTCCG